AACCTTAATAAATAATATTAAAATATTTTACTGTTGTCAGTCACTGGAAATAAGTATATTGCCCTTTTCTAGATGGTATTGTGGATACAACTTAATTTTATCTAAGTATCCCTTTTGTATCATTCAAAAAATTCAAACGCTAACAATACAAGCAAATTGCTTTAGACTGGCTTTTGATTATTTTCTACCCTCCGCTGGTGAGTGGCTATCATTTTCAAGTATTTACTTTGTGCTAGGCATTTTGTGCTTCCAAAGATAATGTTGTATTTTGTCATTACAGTAACCTTATAAGGGAAATAATATTTGTGTCTTCATCTCTCAACTTGAAATTGAGGCTCAATGCTAATAATTAATGTGTCCTCAGATAATAATATGGATGGTAGAGTTGAGATTTGAACTCAGATATCTTACGTGTGAAAGGCCCTAAATCACTCTGCCATTGTGGTGTTTCCAATGTTTTCACAGAAACAACCCATGCAGGCAAGGGTCAGTCAATCAGCCTCTCCCCGTTCCCCGCTACATTTTCCTCCCCTTCCCTGTCATTAAAACAGATTAAACTCCATTCTACCTTCTGTTCCACAGGGTTAATACGCCATTGACAAACTAACATGCCCAATCTTAAGCCTTATGAGTGCTATATTGTAAAATGTGGCTGATTGGATAGTGTGGAGCACACCACGCCCCACTGTAGGAATTGTAGCCTGGATTTTTTTACTACTTTTGTCGAGGTATAGAGGTTTCCTGCTCTGTCTCTAGTATTGCATCCATGCTGCCCAGGTCCTCCAGATGGTAAGTTGAGTTGAAACCTTGCATTACAAGTACCTGGTTCCTGTTCTCGGGACACCCCCAGAGATAGACTCAGAATGGCTTTCCTTGTTACATGATGCTATCACATGCTTCAGCCATACTGTTTCCTGTTTAGAACCTTCTCTTGTGCTTGATTGCCAGGCCTCTCACAATCATTAGACAAAGGTCAATGGTATTTTTCAATCCCCCAGGTCCTGCAACATGTTCTCTATATAGTTATAACCTAGAGATTGGAGCTTTGGTTTTCACTGCTGATCCTATCACATAGATTCATAGAAGACTGATAACTAGACTGGAGTCCACTTGCTGCCTGCAGTAATGGCCTGTGTACCTGGCCATGTCGACTGCCTCAGGCAGAGGTGCCTCTCTCCTCTTCCAAACAAACCCCTCAGCGCATTGTCAGAAGCCTTGTTCTAAAGACATCTTCAAAATGCAGTTTTTAGCTTGTTAATATCTCCAAGTAGAATTGGAGAAAAGTGAACCCAATTACCCAACCCAATTCTCTCACACAGAACTGCTCTGAATCATATTTACCAAGTTTTAGGTGAAAGCCACACCTTATTCTCTTGGGCTCTCTCTGTTAGATGAAACCCGTGTTCCAGTTTGTGAACCAATTAGAAACGATGACTGATTGCTTCAGGAAGGATTTTGGAGCACCTACTGCCATGAAGTCAGCATGGAAAACACAAAAACGAAGGCTTGGTTCAAGCTTATGAAAAGTGTTCAGCCCTTGCAGACAAAGGAGTGGGAATGCAAATGATGGGACCGAGAGTGAGAGATGGCAAAACAGATGTTTAGTATTCTGTGGGAGCTGAGAGGAGCCTCAGAGAGGGAAGTTTCTAACCGTGCTAAGAGAACTGTATTAGTTACTTTCTGTGACAAAAATGCCTTCCAGAAGCAGCTTCAGGAGGAGAGGCTATGTTGCCTTACAGTTTCAGAGTATGCATCGCACATGGGGTAGCATGGCGGAGTGGTTGGTCTGTGATGATTGCAGCTTACGGCACATTCACATCGTGATGACACAGGAGGAAGCAGAGAACAAAGCTGGAAGCGGGGCTGGGCCATAATCCTCAGGCCTTCTTCTAGTGGCCCATTTCTGCCATCTAAGCCCTAGCTTCTAAGGTTCCACAACCTCCGCAAATAGCACCGTCAGTTGGGGACCCAGTGTTCAAACATGATCGTATGGGGTCATTTTATATTCCAACAGTGACAAGGATGATAGAGAGGTAGGCGGGGGAACAAAGAGATTACGTTTAAGGCTGGCATGAAACCTGAAGGACAATGTGTCTACTGCTGCCTAACACGTCACCCCAAATGTAATGACTTAAAACAGCACTTTATTTGCTAATCCTTCTCCAGTCAGGGCTGAGATCAGCTGGCTAACTCTTCTGTTGGCCTTTCTGGTAATCCCTCTTGTGGCTAAATTCAGCTGGCTCTTTGGCTAGAGACTGGATTCAGCTGAGCTTTTCTCTCTCCCAGTGGTCTTGCAGTCTCTGCATCCCCACATGGTTATGCTGTGTGTTCTGTCTAGCACGGCAGCCAGACTCCTTAAATGGTGACTCAGGAGCTCCAGCACACATGAGCAGAAGCTGTCAGGCGGTCTTCTGTGTTAGGCCTGTCCAATTGCCACTGTCACTGCAATCTGTTGACTAAACATAGCTGTGCAATCAGCCCCGATTTAAAGGGAGGGGATGTGTCAAGAGCCCGACTGTCAGGAGGCTGGGTTCACTGGGGCAGACATATGGCGGAGAAGCTAAATGAAACTGGGAGAAGCACTGGGTAAAAGAAGACATAGAAGCAAAGGGGCAGAAGCATGTCAACCCCTGGCTTTGGGGAAAGCGTTAGGTGCTTTAGCCCTGTAGATGGGAGGGTTGCATGGGTACATGCGCAGGTAACAGTGAGAGAAACTGCTAACTTTTCTGACTATGGTCTCCTTGCGGTCCTTTTTATTTGACTCATTTTTTTTTTTGTTGATTTTCCATCTGGAAGTGCTCCCGTGTGAGCCAGCTCTTCTTTGTTGTGTTAAGTTTTGGTCATTGTGATAAGAGATATTTGAGGTAATCAGCTCAAAATGAGGAAAGTTTTGTTCTGGGAGACTATTTCAGATAGACATGTCCAATCTGTGGATCCACAGCCACATGTGCCCCAAGACAGCCATGAATGTTGCCCAACACATTTGTAGATGACACCTTACCACAGTGTCAAAAGGTTAGACCACACCCCACCCCAGTTTTAGAGATTTCAGACAATGATCCCTGAGTCTCCTTGCTTTGGGACTGTGGCAAGACAGAGTGAGCAGTATCAGGGAGGGAGGTTGCAGTGACAGTATCTCCTTGAAGGACAAGACCTCAACGACATCACTTCTTACCATTGGAACCCTATCCTAAATGTTCCATCACTACCCAGTAGCACCAGAGACTAGTGACCAAGCCACCAACAGATGAGCCTTGAGGAGACACTGAAGGTCCAAACTCTAATAACTGACCATACAGACCTAAAGGTTATGTCGGTGTTACTGTCTGGTCACCAAGGCCATTTTCTGTAGTAATAAGGGCTGCGGCGGGGCTGCGTCCCCAACACCCCAGCCGCCTGCCCGGCTAGCTTATGCCCCGAAATAATTACATGGACACTGTATTCTTTTAATCACTGCTTGGCCCATTCTCTTCTAGGCTAATTCTCACATATTAATTTAGCCCATTTCTAATCATCTGTGTGTAGCACCCCAAGGTGCGCTTACCGGGAAGATTCTAGCCTATGTCCATCCTGGGTTGGAGCTTCATCCCGGGAGCGGGGCATGGCGAGAGCTGTGGAGTCTCTCTCAGGCATCTGCTCCTGAGAGGAGAGCTGTGAGTCTGACCTCACTTCCTCTTTCTCCCAGCGTCCTGTTCTGCCTACTCCTCCTACCTATCTTTCAACCAATAAAATGGGCCAAGGCAGTTCCTTTATTAGCCAATGACCTTCCTCCATCAATTTTCTGTTTTGCCTGGTAACTAAGGTGGCCTGCCCTTCTCAGCTTCTTTTGCAGCTAAGTGTGGCCATGACAGTTAAGTTCTAGTGTAGTGGCGGTATACAGTAGACCAGACTTTGTCCACGTTTTGATGTTTGTGCATCCACACACATTTTTATTCCTCTCCAGTTGACTGAACACAGAGAACTCCAGTAGGAATTTTGTGCTGACGATGACAAAGGTGCCCGATAGAAGACATCTGGCAGATGGGTCCAAAACAATTGGCTTCATGGTGACTGCTTGTCACATAGGAATGAAACCATTCATTAGAAGCCCAGGGCTGTGACGGTCAGTAAGTTACAGCTGCCAGCATTACTTTAACTAACAGAATTAGGAAGTGAGGAGGCAGAGCACTTATTAGCATCACCCTGAGGAGCTAGGAGATGTGTGAGGGAAGAGGTTGAGAAGACAGGAGATCAGTAACCGAGGCTTAAGTAGGGCCATCCAAATATGGAAAGAATTCTTGAATGAGGTCATGAGAATCTTCCTTTCCACAAAGCCAGATTTTCCCAGAGGAACATCTGGAATCGGCAGCAGGTGGACTCATCGACATATTCCCATCTGAAACTGTACTGTACTTTTAGTTTTTTCAGGGGCCTTGTCAGCTTCTATCTGTGAACACCCTCCCTGAGAGCGTATCAACAGGAAAGCAATGTGGTAGCTTTTTGGACAAGTTCAAGGACCAGGATTTCATATTAACATAAAAACATGGCATATTTGGTTCTCTGTTGTAATTCGCTTCCTCAAACAATCCCTCAGAGTTTCATGGACAGAACCTTTGTGTCTTCCTGAGTGGAAAAATAGAGACTGAGTTGACAGGCAAGATCTTATAGTTAAGTGCAGGCGACCTCATTGTAGGTCATTTGTAAAGCAAATTTACAGAACTTGTTGAGGTCACATTCATATTCTATAGACACACGCTGATTCAAAGTTTCTGACTGGACAGCTCTGGAGAGCTCTGCGTCTCTTTTCCTTCAAGAACCTGTGCCTCTTAGCTTGCCCACTTGAGGGCTAATGCAAGGAAGTATATAGGTCAGGGGCAACCCACCTGCAATGGGGGACAAGATAAGAGTAAATAGCCTACTTGCCTTTCGTCCTTCAGAGGCTTTCAAAAAGAACAAATGCCTGAGCCCCAGCAAATGCCTACAGCTCCTTAATGCACCCCAAATTGACTCTCCTCCCTTACCTTGGCTCAGTCTCCAGGCAACCTCACCTCCGCTTTGCAGGAGCATCCGTCAAGGCTGGGTAGCTGCAGTTGTGTCTAGCTTCAGCCTGTCTCAGGCTGTTGCCTTGGATGAAGGCGAGTAAAAAACATGGGAGGAGGGGACAGCTATTTTTCTTTTGCCCTCCCTGCACTGGCCTCAGACAACCTGTCCTAGCAGTGAGCAAGGTTAATGGCCATGTGATGATGCTCTTACCAGACATGGCCTGTCTGCCCTGTCGCAGGCAGTTGGTGGCCCCTGACAGTTTGGACTCTCCTATGCATTGGTGACTTTGCTCGGCTGCCCAGCTGGCACCAGGAATGACAATGAGCAGTTTTGGTTCCAAACAGCAGCAGATGCTGCCAGCACACCAACTTCTGCCAGCGATTCAGGGGTGGGGATTCGGCAGGAGAGTACAATCACTTGCTCCGGCTGCCACAGTCCCCAGTGTCCCCTGTATCCTCTAGTCACTAGGGAGCCTGGGGTGATAGAGATGTTAACTTAGCAGTAACTACTTGGTGAGACAAGTTTAGCATGGCCTGGTACCATGGGGAAGAGCAGGGGGACCTTCACCAGATGCCAAAGGACCCAGAGGCCCAGGTCTGATATGCTGAACCATGGTGGCCAGTTATGCAAAAATACCACCTGTGGGCTCCCTCTCCAACCAGCTGTGTTTATTTATTCTCAAATTCATTCATCCACCCCTATAGCGATGGTCCGTATGTGTTTGGCATTGTGTTATGAACTGGTCCTGTAACAAAGAGCAATGGAATATTTCTCCCTCTCTTTTGAACTTATAATATGGAACAGAGATAGACCTTGAAAAAGTCTTTGTTTTTTTTTTTTTTTTGAGAAAGTTCTCAATGTAGCCCTAGCTAGCTTGGAACTTGCTGTGTAGATTAGGGTGCTTCAAACTCAGAGATCTGCCTGCTTCTGCCTCTCAAGTACTGGGATTAAGGTGTACACCTCCCATACCTGGCTTGATTAAGCCTTAAACGTTTGTAGTTACACAGAAGTAGCTGGCTTTCCTTTTACTCTAGACGAATCTCAAAACTGTATTAAAACACAGTGTTGTGGAGCCTTCTGACTTGTAATTCTATAACTTGGGAGGGAAAGGCAGGAGGATCAAGGTTTTAGAGTTATCCTCAAGTACACAATGAATTCAAGGCTAGCCTGGGCTAAATGAGACCCCATTACAAAACAAAACAAAGTCAAGCAAAAAGACAATGTCCTGTAGTCTGTTAAAAGTTCCAGAGTTATGAAGACATAGCCTGCACTCATCAATAAGAATACACCATGCAGCCGGGCAGTGGTGGCGCACACCTTTAATCCCAGCACTTGGGAGGCAGAGGCAGACAGTTCTCTGTGAGTTTGAGACCAGCCTGGTCTACAAGAGCTAGTTCCAGGACAGGCTCCAAAGCTACAGAGAAACCCTGTCTCAAAAAACAAAACAAAACAAAAAAGCACCATGCAGAAATCCTATCAGCTATCTAATGTTCAGCAGTTTGTCTCTGTAGGCCAAGGAGACATGGGTCAAGCTGTGGAGAATCATAGACAGGCTGGGAGGTGGACGCGGCTCTTTGCTTCCCTAAATTCACTGTATGACAGTCTGACACTCCCAAGTACAAGCAGGCAGAGAAGTGTGGTGCGGGGCACCTAAACCCTCCAGCGTCTTCTGCGCGCTTCTTGCCTGAGCTGCCATGAATGGGAGTGCGGGGTTGGGGGTTGGTCTTCCTGCTTGTTTAGGAAAAGGCCACATCCCAGCTTCAGTCATTGTTGGTCTCCAGGGCTACTCCAGCTCTGGTTCTTGCAGATACTATTTGGAGCAGCTCCCAAGCCATTAAAGCCTTCCTCCTGGGGAACTCCCCAGCTGTGGGAGAGGAGGAAGAGAGGAGGGGAACAGCCAGTTCAGATTCACTTCAAAGCAGAAGTGGAACAATCCCCGTTACATTATTAATCCCCGGAGCCATGTAAAGTTTCATCTGTTTTCCCTCAACTAGTTTTTACAAGCTATGTTTCCTAAAAGCGGCAAGACCTACAACCAAATGGTATCTTGCACATGTGTGTGAAACTCTTGGGATAACCCCTGCAGGGCTGAGAATGGGGCAACAGGTTCTAATCTTGCTTTCGACACAACAAGCCATGTGTGTGAAAATCGGCAAGTCATATCTCCTCTCTGGGTTGCTGTATCTGTATTGGTTAGCCGTGGCATGTAAAAATCGTACTCAAAGTATCAACAATATTCAGCGGTAACAAATGGTCCCACACATCTGGTGGGTGGCCGAGATGGGGCTGATAGAGCCCGGGCTTCCTTCAGACCTTTGGCTTCAGATCAGGGGCTTGGCTGAAACAATTCTGTTCCACATGTGCCTCTTCATACTCCTTTTTAGACCAATCGGCCAGGCAGGTGTTGTGGCTTCGATATCCAGTCCTTTCCTAAATCCACATGCTCGACACCACATCTCCTAAGCATCAGTACTAGGAGCTGGGGGCCCTCTGGGGAGTGTGGAGCTTACAAGGCCTTGCTTTAGTGAGAAGTGACTCTATTGCTCTCCAAAGTGCTCATGGGAGTGATCGCACTGTTTTCTGCTATTCTGCCATACGAGGACAGCCTGCCTCTCTTGCCTTCCTTTCTTCTGACAGAAACACACAGAGTTTCCATCTTGGACTTCTCAATTTTCAGAGCTACCAGAGAACTAGATCCCTATTTTCCTACAAGAGCCGGCCTCAGGTGTTCTGTTATATCAACACAAATGGTCTAAGACGGGGCTGGAGAGATGGCTCAGTGGTTAAGAGCATTGCCTGCTCTTCCAAAGGTCCTGAGTTCAATTCCCAGCAACCACATGGTGGCTCACAACCATCTGGCGCCCTCTTCTGGCCTTCAGGCATACAGACAGAATATTGGATACATAATAAATAAATAAATAGTTAAAAAAAAAAAAAAAAAACAAATGGTCTAAGACAACTGTCCTCTATTAATATCAGAGGTACCATGGAAAAGGGGAAAGGCCCGAGGCCCCACCAACAGTAGAAGGAAGTTTCATGTCACACCTCACCTTAAAGGCAAGGAAATATACTCCACCTGTGATGTGACATCACCACGAAGTAGGGTGAAGGATGTGGTACCATGATGCAATTGCCCATAGCCTCCTCACCTATAACACAAAGAAGTCACCAGGTCACAAGTTCCTTAAGCCAGGTGCCTCCTGGCTTAAGTATTCTGTAAGGACAAAAATTGACCTGGAAGCAGAGAAGCAGAAAACGTGCCAGCAAATGACAGCAAGCAAGAATCGGTCTGTTCTGCCTTTGTAAAATGTCTCTGACCGGAAGAGCCAATGACAAAGATGCAGTTGGTGAAAACTGCTCACCTTCCCCATGTAGGGCAACCACTTTGCACAGGCTCAGCATAAGTGGACGCTGAGATGAAAAAAATGTAGGCGAGCCATGCTCTGAGTCCCCACGCCTGTCCCGCCTCCCTTGTGCCAAGAAGGTGAGTGGACATGAAGCATAGGGCAAATGCTCCACACTTCTCTCTGTGTGCATGTTTTCTGCTTTGGAGGCAAAAGGAGCTGCTTCCTGCCAGAGAATATGCAATTAAAAAAAAAACAAATTATATCAGCAGGACTCTCTTTGCTGGAAGTGTGAACTTGATAGAAATCAGAAATGCAAATGGTATTCAAGTGCGGTTAAAACTTCCGCTTTCCAAAAGGGGGGAAATTAATTGCTTTTATACTTACCGTAGTGATAAGCCGGAGGCACACAGGGAATGGCATCCAGAAACCTTCCGAAAGGAGGAGGGAAAGACGGCAATAAATCTCCCCTAGAATGCCTCACGTTTCTCGCTGCAGATGTGCACGGCGTGTCATTTTCTAGCCGTGCAGTTCAGGGACCTGCCAAAGAGTTTCAATTTCAACTAAATGCTGTGTGGAAGGCAGGCTTGGGAAGGTTTGGGAGAATATGCACACATGACAGAAGAGCCGAAGCAGAGGGCAGTCGCCATACCCCTTCTCTGCTGGGGAAACGTGCTAGTTTAAGGGTATTAGTTGCCAGGATATCTGAAGCTGGTCTACTTTCTAGAATACATGTTCTTGCAAGAATGCTTCACATCCCCGGATGTGAGCCACTTTCCCCCCCCCCCCCATAGGTAGGCCTTGTAGGAAATGGCCAGGGATACAGAACTGCAGGCCTCTCACAAAGGCAGAGACAGATTGTCCTGGGGCAGTCCATGTTTGGTTTTGTTACTCTGATATGGAGTTTGCTAAGTAGGCAACACCACCGGCTCTCCAAAGTGTCTCGTGGCGTACATATATTTGAACAAGCTGTTTGCGACTATCTATGGAGAGTGAAGACACACACTCCCCTTGATCTAGCTATGCTACTCCCATGTCTCTGCTCAGCCGAAATGCATGCCCAGGTTTGCTAAGAGAGCACATACAAAAATAGTCATAATAGTAAAAAAAGAAAAAAGAAAACCCTGGAAACAATTCAAACGCCTATCTGCAGGAGAAGAGATAAATAAGGCATGTCACCGTCACACAATGGAACAGTATCAGCAATGGGAACCAACAACCTCCAATTAGGTGCAACGATACACATGACTCTCACAGCCCTGATCAAGAGCAGTCAGACGTGAAAGAGTATGTACTCTCTGACTGCACCGATGCCATGTTCTGAATCCAGGGAAATTAGCATATACGGTTGGAAAGCAGAACGTGGGCTACTGTTGGCCAGAAGCAGTGATGGGGAGAGAATGCAAGGCGATTTCTGGGCCCACACTGCTCGCCGATTGAGTCTGAAGTGTTCCTCAAAGGCCTCCGTTAGGAATGCTTGGTTCACAGCTGGTAGTGCTAATTTGCAGATGCTCTGGAAACTTTAGGTGGTGAGGCCTAGCTAGAAGAAGCAGGTCACCAGTGACATGCCTTTAGAGCTTACGCCAGGTCCCCAGTCCCTCTCTCCCTCTCTGCTATGAGGGAAAGCGTTCCTCTGCCGCATTCTCCTGCGGTTATACTCCTCCAGTATACGCGGCCATGCAA